AGTGCATTTACTGTTAACATGACTCGATCAAACAGATTAGAGGAAAGAAGAGAAAAGATCGAACTGACAAAGAACTAATGAAGATGGTACAAAGGTGGGCGCCAAGATCCCTCTGGGATCTCTTGTTCATTATATCATTTGTTTCTGTCAGATTCAACTTAGAAATCATTTGGTTTTAAAAATAAGGAGTCAGTATTTTCCTGTGAATTTTTTAGATGAAATATAGAATTCTCTGAATTATTTAGATCCATTATCAACAAATGTCTTAATGATATATTCAGAGAAATAAGGATTTTATTCATTACCAAGTTACAGATTAGTCAAATCTAATTAGGAAATTCAATGTCATTCTAATGATCTGTTGAGACCCCAACTTTAATACAAATGAAGTACCTGGTAATGGGATTGTACAAATTGTGGGGTTTTTCAAGGAGCATTTTTTTTTGGCAAAAAATTAAGTAAAACAAATAACAATAAGTTGTGAATAGGTCTTAAAATATTCATATTCAAAATATTGTTTAGGATGAAATCTTTCCCCTGCCATATTTTATGTTTTTCCTCAAAAACCCATCTTTGAAATGCCAGGGATCTGCACTCCATTCACACATTCATAATCTTCTCTTAATATAAATCAAAGAATCAAACTTATCTTATTTATCATTCGATTGTCAATTTAGTCTTGACATACCCAAAGGGTGAGAAATTTATGTGTATCAAGAGCTATAGCCGAATGGATTTGGAGATGAAAAATCACTAGAGTTGGAAAAATGCTTTACTTGGTGACCAGGTGCTAGCTTCTGTCAGAGATGCATCAATTTCAGACTTAATAGATATATTTTTTGTTCTTATCACTTTCTAGGAAAGGAGTTATGTATTTGATAATAAACTTATTTTCCAGGGGAGATAACTCTAGTTGCCTTAGCGCCTCTAAGGCATTGAGACTTGACCCAGACTTAGGAAAGAAGCTGAAAGAAATGATAATAATGGGAGGAAACGTTCAAGGTAAACGATGCATGAATTTTTTAGAAAAAAAATACTATGAAAAAAATGTATATATAATATATAAACCTAATGTTTTTACACCAATATATGAAATAAGTCAGATCACCTTTTAACAATCGTTCTTGTTTGCCTGGATGTTGGGGCACTTTTGTCTAATGTGGGAGGAAACTGGAATATCTGGAGAAATTCCACAAGTTCAGGCAGGTGACGTACCCCATACCTTTTCATGTCCGATCTCCGATTGGGGAATCAAATCTGGACCGCCTGGTTGAAAGCAAAGTACATTATCCACTGTACCTTGCAAGTCAGTATTTGATCAGGTACTGATGGCAACAAATGAATAAATTGACGATGTACAGTGCACTGTCGCTATGTCACTGTGACCTTGCCCTTGAAGTCAAAGGTCAAATAAGTGCAAAGTTTTCAAGAACATCTTCGGGCCGTACCTTTTCAACCCTTACAGGGTATACATATACATTTTTGTTCACAAAAATCAAAATCTCTAGTTTTTAAATTACTTGTACTTCAAAGAATCGAATTGTTAAAAAATGTAAAAAAAAATATCACATCTTCTTCAATAAAAAAGGCAACTGTTTAGATTTGAAACTGTAATCAGGTATTTACAAATGTTTTTGTAACTTCTCAATATTGCATTGAGATACTTATCTTAGCCAGAGTATTTGAATATCATTATAGTCTGACACTTTTACTGTATTGTTAAGTATGTAGAAATTAATTAACATGCATTTCGTACTGGCATTTACCTGGTAAAACACTATCCCTTCATGTTCGGTGACAAATTAGGCTTTATAGGCCTGCTGTATCAAATGCATAACCTCAGAGGCAACTTATGCTCCCCACACACACCTGCAGAATCTGTCTTTTTCTTCTACTCCGTTTGCATAGGGGCATTGAAGAAGCCATCATTGAACTGCTGTCCCCATTACAACATTTTGATATCTATCTCTTTTCTTTTTCTCACTTCCCTACTCTTTCTATTCAGTTAAGTTCCACACAATCACAAACAAAACTTGGTAAAAGTTTAAACACACAAGTTATGTTTATAGGCTACGAAATATTTGTATATAACAGGTAAAGGAAACACCTCTCCTGCAGCTGAGTTCAACTTTCACAGTGATCCAGAGGCAGCCCATGTAGTGCTGAAGGAGATTGGATGTCCCATTCTAATGGTTCCCTGGGAGACTTGTGCTGACAATGGACAATCCTGGGTAAGTCCAGCTAGAGCCAGCAATACACAGTCCTGGGTAAGTCAAGACAGCAATACACAGTCCTGGGTAAGTCTAGCTAGAGAAAGCAATTGACAGTCCTGGGTAAGTCTAGTTAGAGCCAGCAATAACCAGTCCTGGGTAAGTCTAGCTAGAGAAAGCAATAGGCAGTCCTGGGTAAGTCTATCTAGAGAAAGCAATAGACAGTCCTGGGTAAGTCTAGCTAGAGAAAGCAATAGACAGTACTGGATAAGTCTAGCCAGAGAAAGCAATAGACAGTCCTGGGTAAGTCTAGCTAGAGAAAGCAATAGACAGTCCTGGGTAAGTCTAGCTAGAGCCAACAATAAACAGTCCTGGGTAAGTCTAGCTAAAGAAAGCAATACACAGTCCTGGATAAGTCTAGCTAGAGACAGCAATACACAGTCCTGGGTAAGTCTAGCTAGAGACAGCAATACACAGTCCTGGGTAAGTCAAGTTAATTAGAGCCAGCAATACACAGTCCTGGGTAAGTCTAGCTAGAGAAAGCAATACACAGTCCTGAGTAAGTCTAGCTAGAGCCAGCAATAGACAGGCCTTAGTAAGTCTAGCTAGAGACAGCAATAAACAGTCCTGAGTAAGTCTAGCTAGAGCCACCAATAAACAGTCCTGGGTAAGTCTAGCTAGAGAAGGCAATACACAGTCCTGAGTAAGTCCAGCTAGAGCCAGCAATAGACAGGCCTTAGTAAGTCTAGCTAGAGACAGCAATAACCAGTCCTGGGTAAGTCTAGCTAGAGAAAGCAATAGACAGTCCTGGGTAAGTCTAGCTAGAGCCAGCAATAAACAGTCCTGAGTAAGTCTAGCTAGAGAAAGCAAAAGACAGTCCTGGGTAAGTCTTGTTAGAGCCAGCAATAGACAGTCCTTGGTAAGTCTAGCTAGAGACAGCAATACACAGTCCTGGGTAAGTCTAGCTAGAGACAGCAATACACAGTCCTGGGTAAGTCAAGTTAGAGCCAGCAATACACAGTCCTGAGTAAGTCTAGCTAGAGCCAGCAATACACAGTCCTGGGTAAGTCTAGCTAGAGCCAGCAATAGATAGTCTGGAGTAAGTCTAGCTAGGTAAAGCAATACACAGTCCTGAGTAAGTCTAGCTAGAGAAAGCAATACACAGTCCTGAGTAAGTCTAGCTTGAGAAAGCAATAGACAGTCCTGGGTAAGCCTAGCTAGAGAAAGCAATAGACAGTCCTTGGTAAGTCCAGCTAGAGAAAGCAATAGACAGTCTTGGGTAAGTCTAGCTAGAGTCAGCAATACACAGTCCTGGGTAGGTCTAGCTAGAGAAAGCAATACACAGTCTTGGTAAAGTCCAGCTAGAAAAAGCAATAGACAGTCTTGGGTAAGTCTAGCTAGAGTCAGCAATACACAGTTCTAGGTAGGTCTAGCTAGAGAAAGCAATAAACAGTCTTGGTAAAGTCCAGCTAGAGAAAGCAATAGACAGTCCTGTGTAAGTCTAGCTAGAGCCAGCAATACTAAGTCCTGGGTAAGTCTTGTTAGAGCCATCAATACACCGTCCTGAGTAAGTCTAGCTAGAGCCAGCAATAGACAGTCCTGGGTAAGTCCAGCTAGAGCCACCAATAAACAGTCCTGAGTAAGTCTAGCTAGCGAAAGCAATACACAGTCCTAGGTAAGTCTAGCTAGAGTCACCAATAAACAGTCCTGAGTAAGTCTAGGTAGAGACAGCAATACACAGTCCTGGGTAAGCCAAGTTAGAGCCAGCAATAGACAGTCCTGGTAAGTCAAGCTAGAGACAGCAATACACAGTCCTGAGTAAGTCTAGCTAGAGCCAGCAATAGACAGTCCTGGGTAAGTCTAGCTAGACCAATAAACAGTCCTGTGTAAGTCTAGCAAGAGCCAGCAATACACAGTACTCGGTAAGTCTAGCCAGAGCCAGCAATAACCAGTCCTGGGTAAGTCTAGCTAGAGCCAGCAATAGACAGTCCTGGGTAAGTCTAGCTAGACCAATAAACAGTCCTGTGTAAGTCTAGCAAGAGCCAGCAATACACAGTACTCGGTAAGTCTAGCTAGAGCCAGCAATAACCAGTCCTCGGTAAGTCCATGTAGCTAGAGACAGCATTAACCAGTCCTAAGTAAGTCCAGCTAGAGACAGCAATAACCAGTCCTGGGTAAGTCTAGCTAGAGCCAGCAATACACAGTCCTGGGTAAGTCCAGTTAGAGCCAGCAATACACAGTCCTGGGTAAGTCTAGCTAGAGACAACAATAACCAATATTTGGTAAGTCTAGCTAGAGCCACCAATCAACAGTCCTGGGTAAGCCAAGTTAGAGCCAGCAATAAACAGTCCTGAGTAAGTCTAGCTAGAGACAGCATTAGACAGTCCTGAGTAAGTCTACTTAGAGCCACCAATAAACTGTTCTGGGTAAGTCTAGCTAGAGCCACCAATAACCTGTTCTGAGTAAGTCTAGCTGGAGCCACGAATAAACAGTCCTGGGTAAGTCTAGCAAGAGCCAACAATAAACAGTCCTGGGTAAGCCAAGTTAGAGCCAGCAATAGACAGTCCTGGTAAGTCTAGCTAGCGAAAGCAATAGACAGTCCTTAGTAAGTCAAGTTAGAGCCAGCAATAAACAGTCCTGAGTAAGTCTAGCTAGAGACAGCATTAGACAGTCCTGAGTAAGTCTACTTAGAGCCACCAATAAACAGTCCTGTGTAAGTCTAGCAAGAGCCACCAATAAACAGTCCTGGGTAAGTCTAGCTAGAGACAGTAATACACAGTCCTGGGTAAGTCTAGCTGGAGCCAGCAATAGACAGTCCTGGGTAAGTCTAGCAAGAGCCAGCAATACACAGACCTGGGTAAGTCTAGCTAGAGCCAGCAATAGACAATACTGGGTAAGTCTAGCTAGATCCAGCAATAGACAGTCCTGGGTAAGTCTAGCTAGAGTCAGCAATAGACAGTCCTGGGTAAGTCTAGCTAGAGACAGTAATACACAGACCTGGGTAAGTCTAGCTAGAGACAGTAATACACAGACCTGGGTAGGTCTAGCTAGAGACAGTAATACACAGACCTGGGTAAGTCTAGCTAGAGCCAGCAATAGACAGTCCTGGGTAAGTCTAGCTAGAGACAGCAATACACAGTCCTGGGTAAGTCTAGCTAGAGAAAGCAACATATAGTCCTCTGTAAGTCAGTTAAGAACAACATTTCATTTAGCCAAGGGTAAATCCTCGGTAACTTGAATCAGAACCGATAATTAAATTGAAAATTTTGGTAAGTCAAGTCTATAGCCAACGCGGAGAACTGTCTCCTTACTAGTAAATAGAATAGCATGATTGAGAGACCACTTTTATGCCATACCCCAGCCTCCTGAATGACTGAAAAATTTCAAAAGTCTTGTTCTTTAGTTATAAAAATGCTAGGATCAAATATACTTCCCATAGCTGTAAAGGCATTTGGGTGGTTAATACGATTTGTGATTTTCATGTCTCCCAGGGCCCCCGTTTGCCCCTGAGGAGGTGGTAAAATTTAGTATAGTTTATATAGGAAATAGACATGACGGGCCATATCTTCCATTGTTTTGAAAATAATTTGTTCATATTTGAGAGAAAAACCTATTAGGGGAGGAGGGTCTGCTGGTATAAATCATGTGAGCCTGCCCCCCTAGGGGGCTGAGTTAGGGGCCAAAAAGGGGGGGAATTTAGGGAAATTTCAAAAATCTTCTTCTCCAGTTCTAGAAATGCTAGAATCAAATACTACTCATAGCTGTAAAGGCCTTTGGATGGTTTATAAAATTTGTGATTTTCATGTCTACCTGGCCCCCCGTTTGCCCCTGGTGAGGGGGTGAAATTTAGTATAGTTTATATAGGAATTATACATAATAGGCCATATCTTCCAGTGTTTTGAATGGAGTTTGATCATATTTGACAGAAATACTTGTTAAGGGAGGAAGGTCTGCTGGTATAATTTTTGTGACCCTGACCCCCTAGGGGGCTGGGTTTGGGGTGAAAAAGGAGGCAAATTTCAAAACTCTTCTTCTGCAGTTCCAGACATGCTAGTATCAAATACTACTCATAGTTGTAAAGGCCTTGGAGTGGTTTATATACTTGTGATTTTCATGTGCCCCTGGTCCCTCGTTTGCCTTTGGGGAGGGGGGTTAAGTTTGGTATTGTTTATATAGACAATTCTACAAATGAACAGCCATCACATACTTTTTATCTCCAACCCAACTAATGTGCTAGTAATAGTAACAACCTTAATTCTTTATGAATTATAAAGTCTCCATAGTAACGCTTCCAAGTTCTTATCTTACATTCTGAAGTGGTTACAAATTGGCATTACAGAGCAAATGTAAATATTGTGCCATGATTGCTTAAATAACCAGGTGAGCGATACAGGCCTCTTGTATATTAGAGACTTCTAAAGTTTAAAGCTGTGTAGCCTGTATTGAATGAACCTTATAACACGGTAAACGTACCTATTTTAGCGGTATTCTAATTTTAGCGCTTTTCCTATTACAAATATATGTATTCAGCTAAATTATAGTTACGCTAAGTGAAGATTCTGTATACGTTTTTTATTGCAAATATGTTGAGTGTGCTAATTTATTAAGGCGCTTATCTGTTCAAATTCCATAGATTGCTAATTTTTAAGTTAATTATTACGAGAAGCTGACTTTTTAGCCCACCATCATCTGATGGTGGGCTATTCAAATCACCCTGCGTCCGTGGTCCGTCGTCCGTCCGTTGTCCGTCGTCCGTCCGTAAACAATTCTTGTTATCAGTATTTCTCAAGAAGTACTTGAGGGATCTTTCTCAAATTTTATAAGCAGGTTCCCCTTGGTCCTTAGCTGTGCAGGACAACTTTTGATACTGATCGGATAAACAACATGGCCGACAGGCAGCCATCTTGGATTTTAATAGTGAAAGTTTGTTATCGCTATTTCTCGGGAAGTATTAGGGGGATCTTTCTCAAATTTTGTATGCGGGTTCCCCTTGGTCTTTAGCTGTGCAGGGCAACTTTTGAGACTGATCGGATAAACAACATGGCCGACAGGCAGCCATCTTGGATTTTGATAGTGAAAGTTTGTTATCGCTATTTCTCGGGAAGTACGGGAGGGATCTTTCTCAAATTTTAAATGTAGGTTCCCCTTGATCCCTCGTTGTGTATGTTATATTTTGAGACTGATCATAAAAACAAAATGGATTAAAAGAAGAACTAAACAGATCTTTCTCATATTGCAATGATCGATTCTATTTCTTTCACATTAAGTTCTGTACTAGTAAATATGTGAAATGACAAACTCACTTTGAAGGTTGGCTTTCATACACATCAGTATTAAGTTTAAATCAAAAGTTACCTCAAGGTGCATTTACTGTTAACATGACTCGATCAAACAGATTAGAGGAATGAAGAGAAAAGATCGAACTGACAAAGAACTAATGAAGATGGTACAAAGGTGGGCGCCAAGATCCCTCTGGGATCTCTTGTTACTGAAACTAAATCCCTTATAAGGGGACCAGTATACTCTTGATACAAGTTGTAGACAAGTCTGATTTACATTAAGAAATGGATTTCTAACATTTTGGCTTTGCATAGTTGCTAAAGATACATGATTAGAGTCAGATGAAAGATTACAAATATATTGAAAATGAAACTGTAAAGTTTTCTTTTTTATTTCAGACGTGGACAGAAAAGTGGCTGAAAACAGACACGAGAAAAGGACGTTTTCAAAACGGCATTGTACAACATTCTATTGGACGTTTGAAAGCTGCTAATAGGTCACATTATAGATCATGTGACTTATTGGCAATGGCCTTTATCATTGACCGATCGGTTGCCACGGAGACAGAGGAATTATATGGGGAAGTGGAGATGGGAGGCAGTATGACACGTGGGCAGCTTGTCTGTGATTGGAGACAAGTCTTGGGTCGAAAGGTCAATATTAAGGCTGTTACTGCTGTCGATATAGATAAGGCCAGAGTATTGTATGATGCCATGCTTAAGTGACCACTTACTGACCACTGGTCATTGTTAAAGCTCAGAAAGGTTACTTGGGGGTGGTAGTTGATAGAGCCAAGTTAAAATTATCCCAGAATTTCTTTTATATATTATACATGTAGATTTGGTTGATTATTAAACAGTATGCTCATTGCATGTACACCTGTATTTATCACCAACTTTTATATTTGCATTTGTGTGTGTGTGTGTATGTGTGGTAAGGTTCAAATTTAATTCAGTTAATGATTTTTTCAAAAATATACTTTATTTTCCCCTAGCAACGATAGCCCATACGTACATGCACGTACATATGTATGAATATATCTACGTCGGTATGTTACACTCTTTGCCATCACTCTAGCGACTTCATTCCTCAACGGAATTTCATGAAACTTCATACAAGTGTTTAGTATGACAATACATTGAACAAGTTCGCATTTAGGGTTTCTAAGGTCAAGGTCAAGCTAGCTAGGTCACTGTTTCTCTTTTTTTTCGGGGAAAGAAATTTGTCATCACTCTAGCGACTTCCTTACTTAATGGAATTTCATGATACTTCATATAAGTGTTTGGTATGGCAATGCCCTGAACAAGTTCTCCTTCGAATTTCTGCGTTGAAGGTCAAGGTCACTGTTAAACTGTTTGTAGAAATACACTTTGTCATCGCTCTAGCTTCTTGCATGTGTCAGAATGTGTGAATGCAAGGGGAGTTGTATCACTTGTGATGCCTTGGTTATTTTACAACAATTATGAAAACAAGTTACTTCAACTGATATCAATCACTCTTGTTGGCCCGGGTATTATCGTGCTGGGAGTCCTAATGTGGGAGGAAACCGGAGATACTAAAGAAAACCCACGTGGTCGGGCAAGTGAACCCCATAACCTATTCACGTTAAATTGGTGAATCAAACCCTGTTCACCTTGGTGAAAGGCGAGTGTTTTATCCACTGCAACATCCGACCACCCTTCAACTCTTTTCTTTAAGGTTTGTCTGTTGTCAGAGTTATGTGAAAAATAGAGGGTCGTGCCAATGTGTTATGACATTTCAGTGAGATACAGAGATAGCACTAAAAAGTAGTGGTTGAGTGGTCCCGTCATCTGTAGACATCGTCGTCTGCATATAACCTATATATGAAAAAATGAATAAAAAAATAACGAGAAGAGGAAGAACCTGTGTATGTTTCAAGGATTCAAAATCCTAAAATGTATCATATTGTAAAATATGCAGTTTTCACGAATTGTTGTTATTGTTGTCTATTTATAGGAGATGCTACGGATTTACCTCCTTAGTAGCTTATTGATTAATTCGTGTAATGCAGCAATCTGATTAAAATCATCTGTTATATGGCTCCGCCTGAATCTGATTAAAATCATCTGTTACATGGCTCCGCCTGAATCTGATCAAAATCATCTGTTACATGGCTCCGCCTGAATCTGATTAAAATCATCTGTTACATGCATGGCTCCGCCTGAACAGATGTTCAGGCGTAGTACGAAGTTAACGAAGCCATGTAACATGTGATTTTAATCAGATTGTTCAGGCGTAGTACGAAGTTAACGAAGCCATGTAACATGTGATTTTAATCAGATTGTTCAGGCGTAGTACGAAGTTAACGAAGCCATGTAACATGTGATTTTAATCAGATTGTTCAGGCGTAGTACGAAGTTAACGAAGCCATGCAACATATGATTTTAATCAGATTGGTAATGCAGAAATCAAATGTATATTTGGATTAGATATGGAGCCTAACATATTGTATATTTAAATGAATGTGTATGGAGTATTGAATCCACTAAAGAATGAGAATACGAACAAGATATTACTCTCATTTATTTAAAAAAGAAAAGCAAAATAATCATATTTTTAACTCAAGTTTGTATCTACGGTTCCGTATACCGTAAGTGCGATCACGGAATTACATTAGATCTCGGTCCGTGGTGAGCCCGTTTTTTTCCTTCGTTATTTCCTGTTTTAACGCCAGAATCTGCCAAGTGACAAACTTAAATGTCTACCAAAGTGTTTGGACTTGTATCATGGAATGGTATGGCCAGTGATTTCACGCAGTGCTATCTTTAGTAATAATATAGCGATATTATTTCTCGTAACCAGGAACAGTGCAATAGAGTCGAATTGAAATATATGATGAAAGCGGAACTCAAAACAAGTTTAAACCAGCTTAAATAGGCCAAACGGCGCTAGCTCATGGAAAACAACAGAGAACGAAAATATGAATTTTAGAACATACACATGACGAACGACTTCAGCACCAGGGCTCGTATTCATGAAACCGTTCTCACGCTCAAGCATGGATTTTGTGCTCAAGTCTAATTTCTTGTTCCAGTTAAAAAAAAAAAAAAAAAAAAAAAAATGTTTTGTTAAAGTTTTGGACAAAAATTGAAGAAACTTGAAGCCGAATACTGTTTTCAATATTTGAATTTCACTTTTTGATCGTTGACATGATTTAGGTGGGTTACAAGAAAGCTGGCTTGAGCACAGAATCCATGCTTGAGCATGAGAACGGTTTCATGAATACGGGCCCAGGAGAACGTCGCGAATTTAAAGATATGCCAGAAAACAACAAACGTGTATAGGACAGTTACGTACCCAGGTGTGAACTTAGGTAAATGTCCGCCGACATTTAAACATTCATACCGGACCCAATCAGGATCAGAAGGAATGACAGCAACAACTGTGTCGGCATCAGTTGCATTTAGCTTCTTTGTCATTGGCTTCATCGAACTTCAGAACGTTTTTTAAAAGCTATGTACCATTCATGACAAGTGTTAAACGGTATCTTCTGCAGTTAGTGTCGTTGGCATGGGTTTCATAGAACTTAAGAAGTTTGTAATAGCTATATGTACCATTCATAACAAGTGTTAAACGGCATCTTCTGCAGTTAGTGTCGTTGGCATGGGTTTCATAGAACTTAAGAAGAAGTTTGTACTAGCTATATGTACCATTCATAACAAGTGTTAAACGGTAATTTCTGCAGCAGTTAGTTTCGTTGGCATGGGCTTCATAGAATTTAAGAATAAGTTTGTAATAGCTATATGTACCATTCATAACAAGTGTTAAACGGTATCTTCTGCAGCAGTTAGTTTCGTTGGCATGGGCTTCATAGAACTTATGAAGAAGTTTGTAATAGCTTTATGTACCATTCATAACAAGTGTTAAACGGTATATTCTGCAGTTAGTTTCGTTGGCATGGGCTTCATAGATCTAATGAAGAAGTTTGTAATAGCTTTATGTACCATTCATAACAAGTGTTAAACGGTATGTTCTGCAGTTAGTTTCGTTGGCATGGGCTTCATAGATCTAATGAAGAAGTTTGTAATAGCTTTATGTACCATTCATAACAAGTGTTAAACGGTATATTCTGCAGTTAGTTTCGTTGGCATGGGCTTCATAGAATTTAAGAAGAAGTTTGTAATAGCTATATGTCCCATTCATAACAAGTGTTAAACGGTATCTTCTGCAGTTAGGTTCGTTGGCATGGGTTTCATAGAACTTAAGAAGTTTGTAATAGCCATATGTACCATTCATAACAAGTGTTAAACTGTATCTTCTGCAGTTAGTTTCGTTGGCATGTGCTTCATATAACTAATGAAGAAGTTTGTAATAGCTTTATTTACCATTCATAACAAGTGTTAAACGGTATCTTCTGCAGTTAGTTTCGTTGGCATGGGTTTCATAGAACTTAAGAAGTTTGTAATAGCCATATGTACCATTCATAACAAGTGTTAAACTGTATCTTCTGCAGTTAGCTTCGTTGGCATGGGCTTCATATAACTAATGAAGAAGTTTGTAAAAGCTTTATGTACCATTCATAACAAGTGTTAAACCGTATCTTCTGCAGTTAGTTTCGTTGGCATGGGTTTCATAGAACTTAAGAAGGTTGTAATAGCCATATGTACCATTCATAACAAGTGTTAAACTGTATCTTCTGCAGTTAGTTTCGTTGGCATGGGTTTCATAGAAGTTATGAAGAAGTTTGTAATAGCTTTATGTACCATCCATAACAAGTGTTAAACGGTATCTTCTGCAGTTAGTTTCGTTGGCACGGGTTTCATAGAACTTAAGAAGTTTGTAATAGCCATATGTACCATTCATAACAAGTGTTAAACTGTATCTTCTGCAGTTAGTTTCGTTGGCATGTGCTTCATATAACTAATGAAGAAGTTTGTAATAGCTTTATTTACCATTCATAACAAGTGTTAAACGGTATCTTCTGCAGTTAGTTTCGTTGGCATGGGTTTCATAGAACCTAAGAAGAATTTTGTAATAGCTTTATGTACCATTCATAACAAGTGTTAAACGGTAGTTAAACGGTATCTTCTGCAGTTAGTTTCGTTGGCATGGGCTTCATAGACCTAATGAAGAAGTTTGTAATAGCTATATGTACCATTCATAACAAGTGTTAAACGGTAGTTAAACGGTATCTTCTGCAGTTAGTTTCGTTGGCATGGGTTTCATAGAACCTAAGAAGAATTTTGTAATAGCTTTATGTCCCATTCATAACAAGTGTTAAACGGTATATTCTGCAGTTAGTTTCGTTGGCATGGGCTTCATAGAACTAATGAAGAAGTTTGTAATAGCTATATGTACCATTCATAACAAGTGTTGAACGGTATCTTCTGCAGTTAGTTTAGTTGGCATGGGCTTCATTGAACTTAAGAAGTTTGTAAAAGCTTTGTAAGATTAATAACAAAACGTTATCCTCTTGCGAGAAACTCTGACAAATGTACGATAACTTAGTAAGTACTTGGGACAATGACTTAACGTTATAAGTTGGTGTTAAGACCATTGAATTAACGTTTTTTACGTCATACAAGGAGTGGCATTTCTGTTTAGCTTAGAAGGGAATAAGATTAGCTTTTGTATTCAGACTTGCATACAGCACAGGATTGATATCAGAGAGTTAAGACTCGAAAACCCCATACGTACAGTTTTATACAATAAATCGTTTATAGAATTAACAAAGCAGATGTCAGAAATGCTGTAAAACATGACTAGGTACTTCACGTGTGGTACTTTTTTAGCTAGCCTATCCGGGGGATTAATATAATCTTTCCCTACCTTAAGGATGTGACAGAGATATCTCCTACCCGAGGGGTGATTTTTTGGTTGTCTGACCCGAGTGTTAGACAACCAACAAAAATCACCCCGAGGTACGGTATGATTATTTTTCTCCCATCCTATCATTTCAGTCACAACTATACCAACAATAATCTACCAAGTTTGTAAACAAAAACGCTTGTGGGGTATTAATATCTTCAATGACGTCACAATTACCGGTGACGCTTTTTAATGACGTCACAATTGAACACGTGCTCATCGGCACGAGGCTATCTCCGCCTAGGGGGTCTGATCTTTCCCCGCTAAAACGGGAGAAACGCCTGTGAAGGGTGGGAGAAAATGTAGTCATCCCGGCGTTGGCATCCCACTTACTGAGGTCAAAGTTTTTGGCAATTTTTTCGAGAAAATATTGGATCACCACACTCGATACACTGTTGTCTATACTAAGGTTGAAGTATCCATATAGAGTGTTAGCAATGTGCTGAACCATATTTTCATTCTTTTGGGGCCGAAAATAGCTTAACTGGACTTGGTTAAATTTTGGGGCAAGCTTTAGGTTAAAGTTTTTTGGAAAGTTTTGTGTGCAGTGATGGATCACCACCACCAATAGCCTGCTGTCTGTTATAAGGTTGAAGTATTTATATGGAGTGTTAGCAATGTGCTGAAATATGTTTAGGGGTCAAAACTGGTTGACTGGTGTGTAAATAACAATCAATAGGCTGCTGGCTATTTCACATTTTCTGGTCATCTTTACTTTTGTAATATACAATATGTTACGGTACAGCAAAACCTTGTTATATTGCCACCTTTTGTTAAAGAAATATTGTCATCATAAAGGGGTTTGGCAATGAATTCAGGGAAACGTATAAATGATTTCTTAATAAAAAAACAACGCTAAGGGACCTGAAATATGTTGGCGGTAAGCAAGGTGACAAAGGAAATGACGGCCATTATAGGTTGAACTAACTACATTGTGTTTCTATTGATGTGTCTTACAACCAACAGCTCTTGTTTACCGTAAATAAATACGCGTGAAGTAGCTAAGCTGTAACCTTGAAGCTGGAACTTATTTTAGACAAATGGTCTTTTGTAGCTGAAAGTTATGAATCTTTAAAATTAGAAAATTGCCATGAACTCCTCATATTCTTCTTCTGACGTTCG